ATAAAATATATAGAATATAACAATTGTATTGTCTGCAATATTTTACAAAATAAAAAAATCATTATCAGATACATCAGAAAAAAAGAAGTAGACAACATTCTAGAATATTTTTCTCATAAATATACAAAAACATGTTCTTTAATTATAATATTTAGGCATTTAGGAAATTTATACAAATTTTTCAATAAAATAGAAAAGTTTTTTAATAAAAGAAACTCGTTTACGAGACTTCTTTACGAGGCTTGTTTACAAGACACTTCTACGAGGCCTAACTAAAAATACGGACTTATCGAAAAGACCCTACGGANCCCTACGGACTTATCGGAAAGACCCTACGGACTTATCGGAAAGACCCTACGGACTTATCGGAAAGACTTATCGAAGGTCTCACTTCTAGCACGTGTGATCTGCCCACATGATATTTTTTTTTCTTGTTTCAATTCTAGTTGCTATAAAAAAAAAAGAAAAAACTGAAAGAAAAGATATAAGAATACGATAAATCGAATAATGAGTTTTTCAATGTAGAAAATGAAGAAAATCGTTGAATCATTTCGTGTCGACAAACACTTCTTCCTCATAGCGAGACTCTATTTTCCCACTCTTGCTTTAATGGAGTGCGCTCCCTTAAATCAGGATGAGTGGAAGGTAAGGTCGACGATCACGAAGAAATGAAAGAATCTCTGTTCCAGAGATTACGGACAACAAGAAATAAGGGAAAAGGATTTTTCGAGAATTCGCGCTGAGATTCTTCTATGTCTTTGTCTATCTTTATTTATCTTTCTATCTCTTTTTCTTATCTTTCTACGTCATATCAGATTACATATAATCGATGTGTTATATGAAATAGTAAGAAAAATATAAAGTTTCATTATGTTATCGCTAAAACGATAAAGTAAAGGTAAGATAGCAGTTTAGAAAGTTACCCGTCATCATTTTTAATTCTATTACCTCGCACGATTTCGGTTTATTTCGTGAAAATCACCGGAACACTCGTTCCGATCCGTCATCAAACGGCATATTGAACAGTTTATTGCGAAACGTCATTCACAATCGTTGACAATAAAATGTTACTGTTCACTCGTACATCCAAATTGTATAACAATAAATCAGGGCATGTCTATGTCTCCAAATTTCTCGATTTTCTCTTATCAACTTTTTCATACTCAAATTTTTCCACGGAACATAGGACAGATTTAGAATTACAGATTTTAGAAAGCACCGGAAAGTGAATGCCACCCAACGGTGGGATATTAAATTTAATTCACAGTTGAAAATTAATCTTTAGAAAAGCAGCGAGGGAAAAGCTCAAAGATATGAATATTTTCTTATTAAAATTTATGATATTATTATCATTTTAAAGAGAGCCTCTTACAACGAACAGTAAATCCTCTAACGATAATACGTCGAACTCATACACGCGAAACTCTTTCAAAATGATCGCAAAAAGTACCAAGTTTTATCGATCGAATAATCATAATAATAAAAGTTACATAAATGTGATCTTAAAGTAAGAAAGATCGAGAAATCATTAATTGGATCAATTTCAAAGTATCTTTTCTTAACAAATACCTTTATTAATTAAACAGAACTGTAAATTAAAATATATTTTAATTCTTTTATATTTTCAAATTTAACTGCAAATTTTCGCAAAAATTTACAGGAAAAAATTAATTCGAATTGATCACGGGTTAACTATTAAATATTGACGAGGTAAATGATAGCACAAAAAGCAGTTGTTTCTGCAAGCACCAGAACAGGTTTGATACAAATGAGCTTCGGGGAAGAGAGACGCGTTATCTTGCATCCTGCGGGAGCTATACATCCGGTCCCTTCTGTGCGTCGTTTAGCTAAATCCCCGGTATCATCGATCCCTTTACATTTGTGATAAGCGAACTGAAGATCAAGAAAAAAGCGATTAAATCTATATCTTTTTCTCTCGAAAAATTACGCTATTTTACCTTGAAAAGAAAATTATTTATAAATGTTAACATTTTGTCATTAGTAATGGTAAAGTGATTTTCTACTTTACTTATAGTATAATTTTGAATTAATTTAACAAGATTCTTTGTTATTTTTTTTAGTTTCTTCACGTTTTTTTAGAATAATTACGAAATTCCTTCGTCACCGGATCCACGATATGAAAATATTCTTTTCATTGTAATGAGCTCGATTACGAGTTTCTTGAAAATAAAGAAAAGGCATCCCTCACCATCCTCCAATGATCACAGCCTTTCAAGAGAAAAGGAGCATTCTCGTCATTATCCTCAAAGGACTTTTCTTTATTAACTCCGCCCCTTTCTACCTTCAAACAGTTCTATTTAAAACCCTCGGCATTCACGGGGGTTCGACGCAAAACTCCACAACTTCTCGAGGTAAAATGAATGTATAATAAAATAAAATGAAATAAGGGGACGAGGGAGGGGAAACAGAAAACGGGCAAGACGAATTCATTCCTTCATTGTTCTGTTGAAATTTGCACGCGCTTTGGTGCAAGAGAAAGTCGTGCGAACGAAAGATGTTCTTAAAGGAAACTAATTTAACGCGGCTACTACTCAACTCGGACGAAATTTGAGAAATACTTTTAAAGCGTGACTGTTTCACAAAAGTAAAAGTTAAGATTTCATTTTGACTCCGTTTCTTATAGTAAACTATCAAAAAAAAAAAAAAAAGAATTTTACAAAATTAATAAGTAATAAGAATAATAAGATAACAGAAATCTTAATTGAATAATTCCAACAAAAAAGAAATTCCTTGAAGGAGAATATTATAACGAAAAACGTAACACCACAAAGTAAGTTATATGGTAACATTGATTTTAATACGACATATAAAGACAAGAAGAGAAAAAAATTAGACATGCGAAAAAAAAAAGAACAAAAAATGCGTTTGAATTCGAGATACTACATGAGCAGTCTCGAATAATTCTAACGAAAAAGAGATTTGTTGAAAGAGATTAGAGGATCGTAGAATACGTTTATGTACTCGTCGGAGCATATGTCGACTTTCACTACTATGCCGTTCGAGTGAAACGTTACGCGTGGCTTGCGAACGCTTTGCTAGCGCATGGCTAAGGTCACTGCGGTGAGGTTAGCGAAGAGATGAAAAATCCTCTCGGCGGATTCCCACAGGAATATCGCGGTAGGGTATCCTTATAAAACTGGCAGATTAGACCGAGGCGTGACGAGGGCTGGAAATCCGCTCTCTGGATTTTAAGTATCCCACTGACGCGAAAGCGGACTTTTCTATCCCTTTTCAAGCCCTCCCTGTCCTCCCTACTTCTCTGCTCTACAAACTGCAATAGCCGCAAAAGGAAATAGAAAATCGTGGAATTGAGCTTGGCGACGTGCGACGCGAACCGGATTACGTTCCTTCTTGTCTCTCGCATGCTTTTTCATTTTCTGAAATATTTTTCTACGCAAAATGAAACGAAGCCTAGTATAATTAATCTCGATTAATCATCCATTCGAATTAGCCGCTTGCTTTTGAAATTATTTCTGATATGATCGGATTTCATAAGAATTTTATTAACTTTTCTAACTTCGATCATCCAACTTTTTCATATTTCTTTCAATTGGCTACGTTATGGATATAATGAAAGAAAAATTTATAAATATGAAGTAGTATGCCGATAATGCTTTTATATAGTAAATACTTATCGAAACACATTGTTTACCTGAATTATACAAATGTATAAAATACAACGATATATTTATATGAAACTTATTGTAGGATTTATTAGGTGACTATCTTATCAAATTATTTAATACTGCGGCTAAAACGGAGACATTTGTACGTAGGAGTGAAGACGTTTTTTGTTTATACTGCCGTCGACAGAACTAAGACGACGAAGAGCAGTCTAATTTTGACATTCACGATTTAAGCCAACTCCGGTGTGATACGTGTCCCATCGTTCGTTATATCTTTTGATTTACAGAATATTTCTTAATAAATTACTCTTATCTTTACTCTTTATTTTCTCTTTTTTTTTACGGTATTGAAAAAATATTTGTTTATTATCGTTTTGTTATACGAAATTTTCGGAATTAAAGTACACATAGATTAATCATCTGTGATTCTTACTAACAAAGCAGTTTTATCGAATATTCGTGAAGTTCCTTAGTATACTTTTAAGAGATCAAACAGGTTTAATTTTTGAAAACTAATTATTTGACTTCTACAATATTTGAAATGTTTATAGATTTTTTTACCATTCTATTTAAATCGTTTTTAATGTTACGTCTTCTAAATTAATATAAATAATATAGGTAAGATGTTTATTTTGTTCTGTTCTCATTGGTAGAACAAATCTCTTGTTATTTTACAATTGAAACGTAGTGTCATTCACGTTTTGTTATCTTTGAATAAACGCCTATTACTCAACCGCTTCTATAAACGAAGCAATCTAAACAAGATGATTTCCGAGTTATGATATCGTTCTTATCTCATCTACGTTAAACTTCATTATAATATATATCAGTTATAGCTTGTATTTAATTTTTTAAAATAGATGCTTTTTTCGCGAAAAAAAAATTGAAAAAAATGATAATATAATCCATTATTTTTCGATGTTATTTGTAGAGAAATCAAATACTATTATTATTCCAATAAATTTTCGATAAGAAAGAAACGTTTGTCTTGATCTTTTAGAAAACGCTGACATAGATAGATGTCTTAAATCTAAAGACTAACGGAAAGGCTCGAATTGAAAAGTCAAGAGTGAAATCTATTCCAGCAGGATCGCTCGAAGTAAACTATCCGATTTATATGGTCAAGAGCTATCCTACGAAACGAGAAAATATTTTGTGTATCCCGAGGAGAATCGCCGTCGTATTCGGACAGCGTAAAAATGGAGAACGATTTATATCGCAGAGAAGTCCCTCGAACTTCGTGAACATGGAACGACATAGAGAACGAAAGGTATAATATCCTAGAAAAGTTTTATCTAGCGAGAAATATTCATCCAATTGGTAACACTTGAATCACTTTTCTTTTTCGCTTACCCCTTTTCTCTCCAAAGAAATCCGATCGTCCGGGAATCGTTCTGAGAACGAGGAAGATCAGCGGCAATATTCTGAAAACAATTTTATTCGATTAAAAAAATGTCAAATTAATAGATAAATAATATAAATATACTGCAAATGTATTATTTTATTTAAAAAAAAAAAAATTGTAAATTTGTTATTTCCAAGTAGACAATGTTAAAAACTAATAAAGAAACAAACTGATTCTCTGTTCTGATTAAATATAAATAACAGATTTTGTAAGAATATGTAAGAAACCTCAATACACGCGTTGTGTTGGATCGAACTAATTTTTTCGTTCTTATCATTATCAACGTTCTCATCTTCTTTTTTTCTTTTTTATCATTCTCAGGCTAGAAAAGAAAAGAAAAGCTTCAGGGAAGATAGGAAAAAGGTAATACTAATTATGGAAGAAGTGGAACAGAGAAGAAAAGGAAAATGGCCAAAAGTGGGGAGGGTATTTAGGATAAGAGGGCAAAAGCGGAAGATGGTAACGATTAAAACGAAAGCAGAGAGGCTTGCTCATCCTCCTACAATTTCTCCTCCTCTTCCTTCTCCACCTCTTCCACCTCTTTCTCCACCTTCTGCTGTTGGAGGATAACAGCGGCAATAGAGAAGCTACGTGATCTCGCGGAAGAAAAGCATGAAATTAGCGTTAAAACGAATCGAAACACCGACGTTGTTTCTTCAGGCGAACAATGCGTTGAAGCATAAATACATTGGATATTTAGATACAGCTCTGGGCATAAAAATATTCAACATAATACCTATTGGCTTCAATGTTTTTTTTCTTTACAAAATCATGTCAGTATATTTTTCACATCTCTTCGAAAACGTTGCATCGTTTTCTTTTTTAGTTGTTTAGTTGTATTTTTTATTTGTTTTTCATTAGTATAATGAAAATTTTTACGTTCTTAATTTTTTTATAATTAGTAGCCTTTGTTTTGATCGTTGAAATTCACATTGACATGAAATTCCTCTTTTTACGGGATATTAATATGAAAAAAAAAAAAAAAAAATCGAAATTAAACCTAAAAATAAGAATTTGAAAGTCTTTGAATTCGAGTATAATTATTTTTGTTTATATATGTAAATATGTGTATGGAACGAATGTAATTGTATATGTTACTGTTACTTTGTGAAATCCGTTAATTCATGGAATGATCAGCTAAACTCTCAAATAACTGTACTGATATGTTTAAATATGAAAGAAAGCAGAATTACATAGATATTTCAACTGATGTGAATAATATATGAATTTACAAGAGGCGAGTAGTTAAGGTATATAGGATTGAAATATGATTCTCCCAAGTATAGGAAAAGTAGTCTTTGATTTAGTTTCAATACCTGCCTATACTGTACTGTTGTAAATCAGGATATGTATTTCTTCATTTTAAGGTCTTCAAAGGATATCAAATCTCGAGAGATAGAATTTCTCTATTAATTTAAAGAATCAATTTAGATTTCATTCGAAAACTATGAAAACGAAAATAAAATAAATGCGAACAATGAATGCAAGGAATATCCGTTTTTATTTCTTTCTGTCTTTTTAAAACTGATTTTTCGTTAGTCCGAGGTAATTTCTTAAAACTATCAATTTTACAACTAACGTATAATAAAATTATTGTTATATTCTTTCCTAAAAATGCCTAGTTATTTTGGATCAAATCTAAAATTTCCACGATTTAATTGAAATATGCAATATAAAGACATATATACAAATTTACACATATAATAGAATAACTATAATAGAATTTATTAACTCTGATGGAATTTGATTAAGCAGACGAATTTTTCATTAAAAAAAAAAAAAATGAATTTAATAGAAGATAATTTAAGGTGATTTGTGACTTCGATAACTTCGACATGAATAGTCGATATACGATATATATGTATATATATACACAGATGTATAAAATATATATATTTTGTTCTTCAAGAGGTCACTAGTACGAGAGATATTCCCATCGATAACCGTGACACGTACAGAAGTCTCTTTATACGTAGAACAGCGTTGTCCTGCGAACTGCGTGGGCGTTTGCCAATAGATGTCGAACGTGAATCACGATCGAGAATTCCGGCCTTACGTAATGCGTGTAATACATAGACGCCAATATCTAACTGCACGCACGAGTACGGCCAAGCCCATGTACCAACATCGATTTTCGTCAATCGATTGGAAACAACGTTTACATTATTTCTAACAATATTATATAACACTTTTGATGAAAACTCGAAAACCGGAACAATAATAATCGTAAAAAGATCGTTTTAAACTATTTTCGTGTAAAATGTACATCGATAAAATTAAATTTTATTCATGTCAGGAATTCGTTAATATGATAAATTCGCAAAATACGTGATTTCAGAATATCAAACATTTATCTGAAATTCTTGTCACGCATTTACAATAATGCGTGTACAAAGAATATACATGAAATAGTCATATTTTTCATTCGTTAAACAAAAAAAAATCTTTGTTAAGAAAAATTTATCGAACTTTGATTGATCGAACATTCTGTTCCCAACAAGTAACAGTACGTCTTCTAGGTATTACGAACATTCTTATGCGAACGACATTCGTATTCGTTTTTCATTCTGACCGAGTCGTTTAACTTCTTTCCCTACGTTTTCTTAGCTGATTCGCGGAGATTGAAATTAGTTTGAATACGAATATTTTTTCTTCTGTAAATATTAAAAATCATTTCTGAAACATTAAAGATGGAAAAAGATAAGAAATGTAAATAGAATATTCTCAAGAAATATAAGCTGTCAAAAGTAAGGTAAAAGTATGTATTCAAGATCTTTTAAAAATAATGGCAAGTATGAGAAAAATGATGAAGAACCGAGGGAAAGATGGGAAATGATTTTCATAGAAGAATTACAAAGCTTGCTTTTGTTTTCCATTCAAAATCAGACACAATCACGATAATCATCGCGACAAAATAATAGCATCGTAAGTTAAGCCAACGTAGCGTGCTCGGAAGATCTCAACCTCGTCGTCGTCCTGGGTATTTAACGAGAAACGATTCGCGAAATGAGAATGTACATCGTCTGACCGCTTGCCACAGCATCGATGCTAATGATAACGAGCAAGGACGACACCCTATTAACCAACTACTTTGGAATATCACCCATAAAAGGAAAATTAAAAGAATGCAAGGAATATCCCAAACGCCGTTACTGCACACTCTACTATTTCCAATTATAGGAATAATTAAGAGCAACGACTATGATGTTCGAAAAAACGATAACTTACAGTTTATGCGTCTTTTATTAGAATAGCTCTTTAACGAAGTTCCTTTCTTTTCTTCTCTTTAGCATCCGATTTGTAATCATACAAACTAAAATTTTCCGATGAAATATTACTTAACGTTCAATAATATCGTGCTTAAGTATGTTAACTATATATAGATATGTAAAATATATTTGTTTATTATGTAAATCATATCCATATGTATGTTGAAGTACTATGTACTTATGTAATTCATTATAAATACATATATGTATTTAGATTTGTAAAAAAAAATTGTCCAAGAGATCCATAGAAGGAATTATCGATAAAATCTCAAGTATTCTTAACATGCTGACGTGTTAGTGGAAAACTTGAATAATAGATTTGTAATTGAGAACATTGTTTCAATTATTTATTACCATAATAAATTTCTCAATATGTATTCTTGAGAACGTAATCATAACCTTCGAATAAGTGTACTACGTACAATCGATCGGCGTAATTTATTTAATACGAGAATTACGTCAGTATGAATCATTGACGATGAAAAAATATGTATTTATGGTTCTTGATGGGTGCACGAAGAATGTTCAACCTATTATAATCGATTAAGAGATGCTACTCTATTGAGAGTTCTATTCTTGTCTCGTATCGTATTGTTCGAAAGATCGTTAACAGACGATTAGAACGAATTTAACTTATCAATTATTATCTTGAAACGGATGTTAGTGGTTAAACTATAGTTTACGCCTTCCACAGGATAGCTGATTCATTTCTTAGTATGGAATAGATTTTTAAATGTTACTGACAATTTGAAAAAGCAATATTATAAAAACTTCAATTACGATTAACATTTTGATATTTGAAATTATACGAGTCAAATTTGAAGTTAACATCTATGAAAATTTGTATTTTTTAATGTTTTCTTTTTCTGTAGAAAAAGTAAATAAGAATTTTTGCGATAAAACATTTAACAAAATCCAAAAGAAAAATTTGGAGTCCAAGTTCGTTTGCGGTTAATGTCAGAGAGAACAAGCCAAGAGATTAGTGGTACAAGCGGTTAATCAACGGATACAATTAGCACATTCTCCGCACTTTTTCATTTGCGTAACCATAAATCTCGAAGAGGCGGAAGCTACCGCAACGATTTACGTTTCGTCGTAGTTACCGCGAGATCAACAGTGGCAAGACCACAAAATCCGTAAAGAAAGAAACGACTTCGAATGGATGAAAAAAGAAAACGAAAGAAAAAACAAATTAAGAGAAAAAGAAAAAGTATTCAACAAAAGAGAAATTTTATTTTAACTTTCGTAAGGACAAATTGACAGCCTCTCCACCCCACCAAAAAAAAAAAATGCTAAGTTTTAATAAAAGTTTCTAAAAGACGATGACAAAAATATTTTCCTATTACTTTCTACGTATACTATACGATAACAAAAGCAAAGAAAAAGAAGAAAAAAGAACAACTGAAGTTCGTTTCAATGATTAATCCGATATCCATTAAAGGCAACTGCTCTGATAATCCTGAATACGAATGACCACTTTGAAAATGATAAATTGTAAATCCGTGGCGTAGACCCAACCGGTAGCATCCATTGTATGCATATTTTCAATCTCAGCCCTCTGTTATCGAGCTTGTTTCATTTGGCCAAGTCCGCTTGAATAAATAACTAATGTCGCCCCGACAAATGCATGGTACCATGGGGGAGTCAATAAACCGATAATACTATGGATTTTATTAGAAGACCATTTTATGAAACTACTTTGTAAGATAAAATAACAATCGAAATGCGTAGATTTGTGAAACTTGATTTT